ATTCCTCAGCTGGGGGAGGAAGTTATTAACTTGGCTGGAGAACGGCATGTCCTCACCCACAAGGTCGGGTTCCTGAACGTGGGAGCAATGGCCCAGACAACACCTGGGCCTTTATCCAGCGGTCTATTGTTCTCATGCCCTGAAAAGATCTATTCCCACACCTCAAGGGTCCATGGATCAGCTTCTGTCTCTGGTACCACATGCTGTCCTTCCCACTGCAGAACAGTCCCTACTGTGCTGGGAAAAACTTTGGCCAGGCACCCAGGGTCCCCATCCTTCTAAGAGCATATCTCAGCTCCCCCAGCAGGGGGCGCAAAGACACCACCCTGCACCAATTGTGGACCTTGTCCCTCTCCACCCCTTACAGTTCTTTTTACTTCAGGACCACTTGCCCTGTAAAATCAAAACCGGAAGATTTTGTTGTTGGTTATACTACTTACGGTACAAATAAATAAACACCCTTAGGTGGCTGAAAAAGAACAAATATGTCTCTAGACTTTGAAATCTGATTTTCCCCTCGGGCTGTGGCCTTGCACATCTCCACATTCAGTACTAGAAATTCTGCTCTGTTGCTAAAGACCTCACCCAAATCCACTGGGCACCAATCTGTGCTGGTTTTCAACTTGAGGAGGGTGGGCTGGGCCATGAGGACCCCTGGAATCAGGCACAGCAGTACCCTCCCGTCCCCCAACCCCAAGCACCAGCAGACCAGCTCATGGCCTTTTCTTCCACTTTATTTCATATTCCCACCACAATAATGACTCCTTTAATTTAAACTAAAAACCATAGAGGGATCCTGAAAGGGTGGCAGCAAAGGATCGGAGGTGTCAAAGACTGAGGGTCAGGTGGGATGGGGAATCAGCGAATCGTCTTGACTGGGCTCTTGAAGTTGCTGGCGGCTTGGAGCTGCAGTTGGTAGGCCATTGGATGGATCTTGAAACCGTAGAGCCTGGGCGGGGGCAGAGGTCAGAGAGGCAGCAGCGTGAGCCCCACCCTGGCCATGCCAGTAGGCTGAGTTTCCACCTCCCCACCCTAGCTTCTCCATGGGTCTGCTCAGTGCTTAAAGACAGTGGCTCCCAAATGTCTTCCCTCCAGGATACTGGGAAATGTACTTTAAACAGCCATTAAAACTCAAATTCTAGGCTACATGTAAACACACACACACACACACACACGTACATATGTGATTGCATGTTTGTGTGTGTGCAGATCAGTACTTGTTTCATTATAATACCAAACTGTTCTTCCCAATAAACATGATGCTCCGGAAAAATAAACCACACTTTTTCCTAGCAAAAAGTTGAACACCCAAGATGATGACAAAAACAGCTACCATTTAAATGGTACTTCAGGTGCCAAATGTTTTTCAAAGCAACTATTTAAATATACCTTATCGGTCAAGTACTATCATCATCCCCATTTCACGGATAAGGGAACCGAGGCACAGAGAGGCAAATACCTTTCTCAAGATTATGTGCTCTGAGAAAGGCAAACCTCAAGAAAGGACCATGCCCTGTCTTCCCTTCTCTCTAGGGAATCCCGAACCTTTCCTTTGACCCTGGTTGATTCTATCCCTGCTCCCCACCTGGGCACAAACTGGTTGGCGGGCCGCTTGGGCCGGTACTCGGGGTGCACCATGAAGAGCATGTGAGGGAAACCGGTGCCGAAGTAGGCGCCGTCCGTGTGATGGTGCCTCGATGACTTGGGTGTGTACACGTCCATGCACTTGGGGCAGTAGAGCTTCACCATGGCCTCACCTGGGATGTCCGAAAGGCCTGGGAGACAGCCAGACTCAGCAGGCCAGGCACCCCCAAGCCTGCCCCACCTCCCTCCCAGACTCAGGCCCAGACTTGCTGAGCCCCAACTCCTTCCCAGGAGTACCGGCCATTTGATGTGGCCTCCTTTCCCTTCTCCAACACTCACCGATGGGAAGCATTGGCTGGTTCTCACAGTAAACACGGGGACAGTAGCCAAAGTCTCCCTGCTGGTACTTTTCCAACTGAGGCGAATAAAATGAAAGGGGTTGGTGGGTAGGTATGAACAGAAGAGGCAATCCCTTCGTCAGCCCAACCCACATTGCTCTGTCCTCCACTCCTGCCTTTCTGTCCAGAGACCCCTTCAAGCTTGCCCAAAAGGGCCCTTTCCTGCTTCCTCTGGAGGTTAGGCAGGTTACAGACCATCAGAGCCATTCGCTGTTTGTTCCCTGAGGAAGAGGCAGACTGCAACAACTTCCTGTCCAAGGTCACGTCTCCCTCCCTGTAAACACCTCAGTCAGCACAACCCCAATTAGGATTTAATTCCCAGTCCCTGTATCTGGGGTTCTTCCCCTCATCTCAGCTACATTCCTTGACAAGGTTGAAAACACGTGACTCCTCGCTGCAGGAACCTCTGTTTCCCTTACTGCCTCAGAGGAGTCAAGTGGGAGCAGAGAGGCCTCACCATCTGGGCGATGCCACGGTTGGTGAGGATATAGCGGGCGTGGATCAATCCATAAAGCATCTCGGCTGCCTGCTCAATCAGGTCGCTCTGGTTGGGGTTGTCTTCCAGCTCTTCATCTGAAACATGGCCCCAGCCAATTGAAACCACTTGTCTTATAGCTTTCTTAGATGTCCCACCCACCTCCAGGGGCTGTTGGCTACAGTTTGCCTGGCACTCATCTCTGCACCACCCATCACCTGGGCATTTGACCCAGAAACTCCACGAACCCAAGAAAACTCTGCCTTCTCTCTACACTTCTTTAGCCTTTTCTCTCTTCTTTCCCTCCCGACTCTCAACAAATAAATGAAAAATATCAACGCAAAAGATGGCACTCTAGACTAAAAGGTAAGAGGCAAAACAAAGAAACAGGAAATGAGACCCATGGGGAAACTAGCATCAGGGGATAGAGCCAAATTACAGGATCAGAGTGTGGGAACAGGTGGTGTAAGTCACAAAACCAGGCAAAAGTCAGATGGGGGACCAAAATGAAGGACAGGACTTTGGATAAAAGGAGTCGGAGAACCAAAAGAAAATTTGTAAATTCAAGAAGCAAATAAATAAGAATATGAAAACAAAAACAGAAACAAAAACCCATACACACACAAAACAACCCCGAAGGTGCCTCACCAGGCTCCAGGTCCAAGATCATGTCTAGAGCTTGTCGATAGTGAGGCACCTGCTCATTGAGTCCAGTGAGATTGAATTTGTCCTGGATGTAGTCCTCATCCACCTGTCAGGATGTGGAAGTCAAGAAACTCATAGCAGAATCCTCAGTTTTGACCTGGGCACATTGCTCTAACTTGTGGCTTATTCTCAACACAACTGCTTGTTTCCCCTCATAACCCAATTCCAACTTAGCAGAAGTACTTGAGTCTCTCTCCCCAGTTCACATACACTGCCTTTCCATAAAAGCTTTTACTTTTTTTAAAACAGCTGTAACAATTTCCTCCTTAAAGAAACATTCCTTTCAAAATCCCGGTTCCTACTCCTGCCACACATCTTTACAAATCTATTTTGTCCTCTCCTTAGGGAAAACCGGATTTCCAAGGAAAGTGGAGACTGAACAGCTTGGGTCCTGTGGGCAGTTACAATCCTTTGTATTACCAGCACACAACTTTGCACATTACAAAACATTTTCACAAACAGCATTTTAATTCTAACAGACTCCCAAAATATGGACTACCAATAGCAATCTAATAATAATAATAAAGTTGACTTGTCTAATGTTACATTGCTGGAAGATAATAGGCTTGGGACTTGGACAGTCTTGCCACTTCACAAGTTAGTGAAGGGGGCTACTGAACGGACTTTTCCTTGACAGGAAAAAGTTTCCATGGCAGCCTGTAAGTGTATGGAAACTAACTATGTGGGAAAATACATAGCCAAACTTTGTGTGGAGATGCCTGGGAGACCGAGGAGAACTCACCTCACAGAAAAATTCATTGCCACGGAGCCCACAGAACCAGGAAATCCAGGACACCTCCTCTGAGCTGCTCATCTTCACGTCAGCTGGGGGGGAAAAAAAAGGGTCTAAGTAATGCCCAAGCTCTCCCACCCTGCCTCTGGTATCCTCCCTCTTCCCACACTTTGCTCTCCAACAATGAAAGAATTTGGGGCCACCTTTCCTTAAAGGATCCTAGACTCTGGAGCACCCCTCTCCAGTTTCTGTTATTCACACCTCAGCCCCTTTTCTGAAATTACAGATTCTCTGGAGTCCCACCACTCTTCAAGTCCCACCACTTTGGACAGGTATTAACCATCAGTCCTACCCATATCCCTAACGCTGCCGAAGACCTGCTCCCTCTCCTCTTCACGTCAACTCGGGCAGGGCCGTCGGCTCGAGATCCCTACCCCACAAGTCTCTGCATGTCCCCTGCGCCTTTCCCAAAGGTTCCGAAGTTTATCCTTTCCAAGCAAAGGTGGGCCCCTTTTTCTCTCACGGCCTGGGGGTCGCCGTGAGGTTGCGTTCACAGGAGTCCCCACAACCCGCCTCCGCCCCTCAGGCCATCCCTCCCTCCCCCAGTGCCGGACCGGGTCACTTCCTTCCCCACCCCCACATCAACTCGCGGAGACCCCATGTGCCGCGCCTAAAGACAGAGAACTCGCCGCCGCGACGACTTCAGACTCACCGGCTGGACGGGGACCGGGAACAGGGCGGGGGAGGGGAATTGCCGCTTCCAAGGAACCGCGAGGGCTACAACGCAGGCCACAGACCCGACCGCGGCAGCCGAAGTGGGGGGGGGGGGGGAGTGGAAATTGGGGAGGGTGGGGAAAGGGTAACGCGCAAACGCCAAGGGTCGGGCGCCGCAGTGAACGCCGGGAAATGAAGTCCCTAGTAAAGAGAAACTGGCGAAACGAGAGAAAGGCGAACTACGAATCCCAGGATGACTCAAGAACGACCCTGGCGTCGCGAGGCCCAGGAGTAGGACGCTCGGGGGGGCGGGGCGAAGCGAGATGCCACCGGAAGCGGAAGCGCAGTACCCCGTTCTCTGTCAGGGAGTATGGGAAATATAGTTGTAGGATTCCGCAGCTAAGGGGCCGAGAGGGGGCGGGGAAAGGAACGAGGCTGGCGGGCCGGTTTCCTGTACGTACCCTCACACAGCGAGGGTCGGCTTTAGGCGCTCGCCTGAAGCCCAGGGTACTGACCTTATCCCCGGCCAACCCACCGTGTCCTCATTGCCTGTCGAGCCTCTCGCCCAAGTCAGGCCCGCCACTGAAGGCCCCGTCGGGGCTCCAGTTTCACCCCGGGGACTGGTCTCCTCAGGCGGGAGGTGAGGCCGGGCGCCTTGCTGAGGGACGTGGGAAGGGTGGGCTGGGCTGAGGTGAGCGGTGTGAAAACCGGGACGGCCCCGTGCGCTCACCTGTGGTGGCGCCAGCCATTCTGCTGCTCGTCCCCTTGCACTTCTCCATTTCCTCTTAGGGCTTGAATTGGGGGGTCCTCTGCTGCGGCCACTAAGTGTGACCTTCGAACCCTGGTCAGAATAATGGTGAAGGGCAGCGTGACGTTATTTCATTTCACGGCTTCGGGGGCATTCCACAGGTTTCGTTCCGCCTCCTCAGAGCCTTCTTAACTCACAGAGTGGTTTCGCAGCTCCAAAAAATTAGCCCGGAGCGGGGGCCACGTTCCGGGAGGCGAAGGGCATTGTGGGGGCGTTATGTTAAAGTAGGACCCCAACCGACGGAGCCTCTGTCCTCGCGCTACCTGGGCACGTGGCATTTGAGCGGATGCTATTGGAAGGGTCCCGGGTGGGGAAGCTGAACCTAGCTTTGCAAACCTAGCGCTTTGCACATGCCTGAGCCCTCAAGTTATGTTTTGTGTGTGTGTGTGTTTTTTTTCTAGTCACACGTGCGTGTTCGGGTCATGGCTATTTGATCGTCAGCTCCTTTGCTTAGAGTGGCGCCGTTTCGCCGTACGGAGACTACGAAGTCACAGAGACTGGAGCTTCTCCCCCTGCTCTCTTATTTCTGTGTTAAAGCCTGTTTTTATTTGGGAAGATGAGACGCGGACATAGGATCAAGGAAGATTTAAAGGGCTAGGCTGATTGTTTTCTTTTTTCCTTTTCTTTCTTTCTTTTTTGGCTGATTGTTTTCTTAATAGTACATCTTATCTGGTGGTCAAGTTTCAGAGAGAAGCCGTTTTTATTATTGGTGAGGACGGGAATGGGGGCAGAATGCAACCTCTGGGCAACCTCATTGAATCTTCTTTGTTAAAATAACCTTTACTAAACCGTATGGGCTGTTATTATAGGGTTCCCTGTTTCTCCACATGACCTATGGTCCTAGGTTGTGAGGTCACTTAGGGAGTGAGAGGGTTTTTTTACTTTAAGGCTATTTCTTGTCCCAGCAGGTCTCTGGGGGGTGGCTCTGGTCAGTGCAGAGCCACCAAGGGATTGGCTTGTCTCTTACTCCCTTTATCTAGTCTCATCTTAGTTCTCCCAAAAGCCATGTCCAGGACCTCCCTCATCAGCTTCACTCCAGCCACCAACCCCAGTGACCTCTGGAAAGACGGGCAGCAGCAGTCACAGCCTGAAGAGCTGGAGCCCACCTTGGATGGGACTGCAGCCAGGGCTTTTTATGAGGCCCTGATTGCAGATGAGAGCAGTGTCCCTGAATCTCAGAGATCTCAGCCTGAACCTACCAGTAAGAGAAAGAGGAAGAAGAGAAGAATGATGAGGGAAGCTGCTGGAGGAGCCTCAGGAGGACATGGACAAAGGAGATCCCTTGAGGCAGAGGACAAGATGACCCAGTGGATACTGAGGGCAGCTCAGGAGGGAGACCTGGCAGAACTAAGAAGGCTGTTGGATCCCCGTGAGGAAGGGGGCGCCGGGGGCAATATCAATGCTCGGGATGCCTTCTGGTGGACCCCCCTGATGTGTGCTGCTCGAGCAGGCCAGGGGGCTGCTGTGCGTTATCTCCTGGGCCGTGGAGCTGCCTGGGTGGGCGTCTGTGAGCTGGGTGGCAAGGATGCTGCTCAGCTGGCCGAAGAAGCAGGTTTCCCTGAGGTGGCACGCATGGTCAGAGAGAGCCATGGAGAGACGAGGAGTACAGAGAACGGGTGAGGGGAAGCCTTAGCCCATGCCCATCTTTCAGTGTGTTCTCCCTTCCTAGCAACTCCACACCAGAGGCTCTAGAACAGAGCTGACGTTTATCTTCCTGATCCCCCCAGTATAGGTTGATAAGGCAGTGTAATAGAGTGAAAATAAATATGAGCTCCCTGGGTTTAAATCCTAATTCTACTTACTTGGGCAAGAACCTAATTTTAATGTGCCTCATTTTCGTTATCTGAGAAATGCAGGTAATAAGAGCACCTGTTAGGATTTAATGGGTCAGTATACGTAAAGTGCTAGAATGATGCTCACCACATAGTAAGCACTGTATATCTATTAATTGTAGCCATTATTATGCTTTGCCCAAGAGCTTGTGAGGCCTGGTTGCCATTTCTTCTCCCAGCTGTTCCTCTCTGGGTCCCTCACTGCTAAGTGGGTTGGAAGGCAACTTGTTTTTTAGCAGAAAGACTGGAAGGACTTCCCACCTTGCCACCACACTCTGAGGCCTCAACTCTTTCCCTGCCCTGAACTCTTTCTCTTTTTTTCCTCTGCAGGTCCCAGTTCCCCTCCCTCCGGTACTGTGAGACCTGTGATGCCCACTTTCAAGACTCTAACCATTACACATCCACTGCTCACCTGCTGTCACTGCCCCGTGATCTCAGGTCCCCCAACCTGCCCATTGGGGTTTCCGCCTCCAGCCCAGGCTTCAAGTTGCTGCTGAGGGGTGGCTGGGAGCCTGGAATGGGGCTGGGACCCCGGGGTGAGGGCCGCACCAACCCCATCCCAACTGTCCTCAAGAGGGACCAGGAAGGATTAGGCTACAGATCAGTGCCCCAACCCCGAGTCACACACTTCCTGGCTCGAGATACTCGGGCCGTGGCTGGGAGGGAGAGAGCCCCTCGGGTGACCACACTGAGCCAGAGGGAGAAGAGAAGGCAGGAGGAGAAGGACAGGGCCTGGGAGCGGGATCTGAGGACATACATGAACCTTGAGTTCTGACCTTGGTAAGTAAGGTCTGATCCTGGTCTGTTGCTAAAGTCTGAACCTGGACCTAGGCACTTTGGCTTTTACTTCCTGAGGTCTCCAGGTCCCAGATCCTCAGATTTTAGTCGCTGGGCTCTGCCTTTGGAAGAGAGGAGCCGAGAGCTGAAAATAAATCAAACTTCTTCCTCTTTTGTGTTTATTCACTTTTCTGGAAGCTATTGTGGGAAAGCCAAAGTCTGGGAGCCACATGCACTTGAGCCAGAAGGGGTAGCCCTTCCTGGTGGCATCATCGGGTCACCTACCTGCCAGTCTGGTTAATTTCCAGGGCCTAGCCCCTGCCTGGAATGCCCCACCTATTCTTTCAGTCTCCTGAACCAGGAATTGCCCAAGCTCTATGCCAGTCTCGCCTACCCCAGGAAGCATCTCCTGACTTCAGCCAATTCAATCACTGTTTTTATTTTATTTTTTCAATTAATGATTTAAAAATGTTTTATTTATTTATTTAACAGAGAGAGACAGATCACAAGTAGGCAGAAAGGCAGACAGAGAGAGGGGGAAGCAGGCTCCCTGCTGAGCAGAGAGCCTGTTGTGGGGCTTGATCCCAGGATCCTGAGATCATGATCTGAACTGAAGGCAGAGGTTTAACCCACTGAGCCACCCAGGGGCCCCTCAATTACTCAATTTTAAACAAGATCAAATACTATATGCTAAGAAGAGGAGTAAGACATATTCCCAACTTTCTAATTGCTTACAGCTAGAGGAGGAGGCAGCTATGTGCTCAAATATACAATGCATGGTGATAGGGGAAGCCTGGGAAAGTTCATGGAGGTGATGAGAGTAGACAGGGTCTTATAGGAAGAGGCCAATGGGCTGGAAGGGCCTAAGGATATCTGGCTTCTAGGATGATAGCGGAACTAGAACCCGAACGTCCCAGTGTACATTTGGCCTCCCAAATGTAAACTTTAAGTCAGGGTTCTTCATTTTACAACCTGAAAACGCCTGAGGGCAGGAAGCATGTTCTGTTTGTCAACACTTGTCTCCCCTTCCCTTCTGCTGCTCATACCAGGTGCTGGGCCTAAGGAGAGCTCACTGTTGTCAGACCCAGGAAGTAAGATCTGCATGGAGGGACAGGAAAGATCTACACAAGGCCTAAGGAAGCAGAGTCCTTTTCCGGAAAAGCCTTTCATGAAGTCTTGGACATGAAAAGGAGGAGTTGGGGGTGGAGGGTGCAGGGAAGAGCCAAAGAGCAGGAGGCTAAAGGGAGCGGAGGAGTTTAGGGGAGCACTGGCGACCCAGGGACGTATGGGCGACGGAGAGAGATTGTTAGGTTTATACTGCTGCCCCGACCCTGCTAGACCTCAGCTGGCGCCCTGCGGAGTGGCGCTACTAACGGCGCGGGGGCGCGGGGGGCGGTGGATCCGTAGGGTCCGCCCCGCGAACTGCGGGCCCCGCCCCCGTCTGTCTCTCCCGCCCCGGTGCAGCTGCTTCCGGGCTCTGCGGCTCCGGGCGGCCTACTGAGGCCGCGGCCCCAACGCCGGGCCCGGGAAGAGTCGCAGCGCGCAAAGCCCGGACGCCTGGGTCCCCAGGCAGGCCCGCGCTTGGCCTCGCGACGAGAATCTCCCAGGACATCTCTGGCCTGACCTTGCGGAGATCGCGTCTCACCTGCGTGCTCGGGGACCGGTCGGGCCACTTTGTAGGATTCCTAGCTCTCTAAATCGAGAAAAGAACGCTGCTGGCAGGAGTTTGCTGAACACCTCTCTCCTAACCCCCAGTAAGAGACTGCCTGCTTGAGCTCCCTTAGGTCAGCAGTTCAGCACTCTCCAGACTGGGAGCAACTGAGACCCAGGGCCACCTTCCTTCCTTCTTGGATGGAGCACCGCCTCCCCAGTTTCTGGGGCACCTTGGGGCGTGGCCTTGGTGAGTGAAATTTGGGGTGCTGCCTGTAGGAAAGGTAACCCAGAAACCCAGGGAGGACACCGTGGGGGTGACCCAGGCCTTGTCAGATCCTGGGGATTCTTGGCCTGAATCTTGTGTTTTGGGGTGGTGGTGAATGAATTTGGATGTGCCTCCCCACTTTACCTCAAAACTGAAAAGGAACAAGCCATTTGCCACACTTGAGGCCGCAGGACATCCAGAAAAGTGGGGAGCCACTTGTGAATTCAGAGTAGGACTCACGAAACAGCAGTTGTTCTGAGCTTGAACAGACTCTGGCTTCTGAGGAGACACTCAGCCCCCAAACTTGAGGGCTGAGTTCCAAACAGAATAGAAGCAATTCCAGGAAGCAGCCCCAGAATTTGGGGGCTCACTACACATCCCAACCATGTTCCTGCGACGGCTTAGTGGCTGGCTACCTCGCCCTTGGGGCCGCCGGAAACCAACGAAGCCCGACTTGCCTGCCCCAGAACTCAGAGTAGTGGACAGCTCCTCTGAGAATTCAGGGAGTGACTGGGATAGTGCCCCAGAAACCATGGGAGATGTGGGGCCTCTCAAGACCAAGGACCCAGGATCACGGAGGAGCTCTGAGGCTGCTTCAGAACCAAGTAGGGAGGTCCGAGATGAGCAACTGCGAAACAACAAAATGGATTCCTTCAAGTGGGACAAGACTGTCTCTAACACTGAAGAGTCTGGGAGACTGGGGACTGGAGGGACTGTTCTCAAACAGGGCCAGGATCCTGTGGGCTCAAGTGGCACCAGACCTGGAGTGTCCCCTGAAGGGGTACTAAGCCCCCCTGGGCCAGAAGCCCCAGTGGAGAAGCCAGGACGGCGTCAGAAGCTGCTGGGCTGGCTGCGTGGGGATCCAGGTGGGGGAGCAGGAGCTCCCTTGCAGTACCTGGGGGGCCCAGAGGAGTGTCTGCAGATCTCAACCAACCTGACTCTCCACCTGCTGGAGCTGCTGGCCTCAGCCCTGCTGGGGCTGTGCTCACGGCCTCTGAGAGCAGCTTTGGATGCATTGGGCCTGCGTGGACCGCTGGGCCTCTGGCTGCATGGGCTGCTGTCTTTTCTGGCTGCCCTGCATGGGCTCCATGCTGTGTTGAGCCTACTTACTGCTCACCCCCTGCACTTTGCCTGCCTCTTTGGTCTCCTTCAGGCCCTGGTGCTGGCTGTCAGCCTCCGGGAGCCCAGTGGAGAGGAGGAGGCCACTGACTTGGATGGCGAGAAATTGGAGAGGGAGGGTGAGGAATAGAGGGGACACCCAGGAAAGGGGCTGTGACTGCAAGATGAGGTGTGACCTAGTACCCCCATCCTGAGTGGGGTGGGAGCAAGAGTGAAGATAGTGTGGCCTGTAGGAGGAAAGTGGGGGCCATGACCCAGATTGTAAGCACAGGGACCTCAGGGATGGGGAAGAAACCCCAGAGGGTGAGGGCGTGGCCCCCCTTCATACACAAGAGAGAGTAGAGCTGTTTAGGATATCTGTTTATGGACAATGGGGATATTGTCCTTGAATTCACCAGCTGTTGTTACTTTTTGCTTTTACATTTCTCCCACTTCCAGTTTTTTCTTTCCACCTTTACTTTTTAAAAGAAAAAAATAAGTGTGGTGGTGAACAATAAAGACTAAAGAGTCCTCTTTACCTTTCAAAACTACCCAGGGGTGGAAGAGACCAGAGACAGGACAGACAGGCCTCTAACTAGGGTTAGAGGGTGGTTGGAGACCGAAGGGAGCCCTTGGATCCTAGGATCTGAGCCACCTAAGGAAGAATGGGACTGTGAGGTGGGTGGATTAAGGGGTGTGGATAGCAGCCAACAGTGACAGGGGCCTGCAGGAAGGATCTGGGTGGTCCCAGGAGCCAGGGGAAGGTGGGGATGGTGCAGGCAGTATTGGCAGGAGGGCCAATTCAGAGGGGTTGGCAGCTCAGACAGGCAGTATGGGGAAGCACTGGAGCTTGGAGTTCTCACTCAGGTTAGGGGTTTGCACACTCAGCAATAAACAACTGTAATCATACCAAATCCTAAATATACCACTACAAAGAGAGTTACCATCACTTAGAGTCCTTCCTGACGCCGGCCAGCTGGGGGTTTAGGTGGTAGAAGGTCCAGGGGGAGTACTGAAATGGAGATGGGGGGATTGCTTTCTGGAGACAAGCCCAAAATGAGATGAGGATTGAAAAATCATCTTTATTACTCTTGAAAGGGAGCTGGGAGTCTCCAGCTTCTCTTCCCCACAGCACAATTGCAGCTCCCACCATATCCATCTGGGGCACAGATGAAGCCACAGGTCAGTTACTGGACAGCTCGCAGGCCTCTGGTGGGAGGAGGGAGAAAAGAAGAGAATGGAAAGGAAAGAACTCCAGGGAGAAAAGGTTGGTGGTAATGGGGTGAAGGAGAATGCATTCCTGCTTTTCCCCACATCAAAGAAGGGGTCCCTGAAGCCCTTTCCCCTATATGTCTCGCCCCCTGCCCCTTTTATCCACCGGAAACTCAAGAAACCTCTCTTTTGAGTAGCCCAGAGCCCATCCTGGCTCCCTCAGGTGACACCAACACCACAGCTCTTGGCCACATCCTTCTGGTGCCATCACAGCCTATGACACAAATGGATGTGTCAGCACAGCCACTCTAATGATGTCAGCCTTTGACCATGTCCTCCAGTGACATCACTTGAGTCCCTTTCATCCGGCACCTGCAGAAGACTTGGTGAGTCCTAGTCCTCTTCTGTGGGACTTTACCCCCTCACCTTGATTCCTGGGAGTCCGTAAGAAGGTCTTGAAGTCCAGGCAGGAGGTCAGGGACTGGAATTCCTTCACACACTTCTCAGGAGGGTGTGGTGAGCGACCTGGAAGAGCAGGGCAGGGCCAGGCCCATCAAAGTCCCAGATTCTCAGTACCTCCCTGGTAGGGACGGCACCCAGCCCCTCCTGGGATGATATCATAGGGCCCAGAGTGAGAGGCTCTCCTGCCCTCCCGTTGTCTCTCTCCAACCCTTCCTGCCTGGCATCCCCACTCACTGTAGAGGAGAAAGCGCTGGTAACCCTGGCCTGACTCTTTCAGCATGATTCCACCGGGGCATGAGCTGGAGAAGAGCTTGGTCTTCATGTCAGGGCGGCCTGTTGGGGCGGGGGTTTGGTGGAGAGTGTGAGGACAGAGAGGCAAAAACAAGCAAGCCCAGGGGACTTGGGGAGGGTGAGGGCTGGAGAGAACCAACCTTCAGTTCTAAGATCTGTGCTCTCCTCAGTCAGGTGGTAGATCCATTTCC